ATTTATTCTTTGACTTCTGATTAATAGTCATCTTGTTCTTTTTTTTATGATCTTGTATGTGTTGAATCATCGTCTTCTTCTTCTTCTTCTTCTTTCTTTTTCCCCACTCAATTTAGTTCTGTATAGAAAACTTTCATTTCTTTTTCTATTTCTATTCTTTATTTAAGAAAAGAAGTAACTTTTATTCTAGAAATTTTCAACTATCTTAAATAGAAATCAACAACATTGGTTGTGATGGTTTAACTGCTGTAAAACAGTATAATATTGATTCATGAACAAATAAGAAAAAAAAAGGTACTTTGATAATTTATCTGTTCCTACTGTGTTCACAATTTGCGTATTGCTATTTATTTTTCTTCTTCTTCTTCTTCATCTTCCAATTGTTGCTAAGAGCATCATTAGTTCCCCTTTTTCTTGTCTTATCTTAATAGTATGATATTATGATTGGTATCTATTGAACTATCTATTCTGCTGTATGTTGAATGAAGGACTGATTGTTTCATGTAGTTCTTTGAAGACAATGTGTGTGTGTGTGTGTGTGGTGTCTTTCAGATGTCTACTTGTCAACTGTTTCTGTTACGAGGGGATATCATTGAAATTATAAAAAAAGGACTTGTTTTTTTGTTTTTGTAAATGTGATTATTCATCATTCTATACACCTTTCTGTCCTACTTCTCTATGGTTGGTTATTTGGATCTCAGTCCTCTTTTTTTTTTGTTTTTTTTGTGTTGTTTGTCATCTTAAGCCTGTATCATCATTATTACTGATAATATTATTCATATTACTCTATTTACATTGCAGTTAGTAACTCATGGTCAATAGTCTTCAAGTATAAATATGAAAAGGTAGCCATTGTATTTATGTATGTACTATTTTAGTATTGGATTTAAATTGATTCATTCATTCATTACATATTCGTAGATGATATTCGTCATACGAACACTGGAGAGTTGTTTTGCTCTAATATGGTATTCAACAATGCCAATCTATAGTACCAATAAGGATGATTATTATTTAAACACAGAAACATTGGTACAAGGAGGCACTAAATATGTATATATGCCCCACACTTCATCATCCGATTTGTATGGGGGCTGAGATACTGGCCAGGTGGTTTTCTGAGAAGGCCACTCCTCGGACCTTTCACCTAAAGGTCTAATCTACAAGGCAGTGAAGCAACGTTAGGAGATGCAATCTCATGGTAGCCGGTGACAAAGAATAGGTTCATACACCTTTTTTCCCTCAGGATCCTGTAGAGCATGTATACCATTTGTTTGAAATGAGGGTTTTCGAACTTCCCTAGATGGACTCTCCATGTCCATCGACCCGTTTAAAGCACCGAATATTCACTTTTCGTCCTCTCAATTTCGTGAACAATAGTAATGCTGCGAGATGGTGAGTAGGATTTCCCTGTCAGTGGATGTATACATGTGTTCATGTGAGAGTATTTCGAGAAGGGAAGCTAACTCTTTCCACCTTTGACCGTACCCAGGGTTTTAATTGCACGCAGTGAACACCTAACCACTGGGTCGGCATCCAGTGGTATAATTTCAGCTTTAATCAACTTGCTATGTGACGCACCTATCATTCATAGTTATGAGTAACAACTGTTTCATTTTTGACAAATCTGAACTCCAACAACTTCAACCGTGACTAAGTAACTAGTCAGTAGTTCGCTTGCTCGGCTTTCATTCCTTTTAATTATGATGGCTATCAGTATAATATCTGACCGCCGAAGTTAAATAAGATGAAGTGGGATTCGGATTTTTAACAAAATGAATGAAGATTGATTGTTATAAGTAATGTTAGCCGCTGTTATAACGTACATATTTAAATACTGGTGTGTACAATTGATACACTGTGATTATACAGGCTTTGAAATGCTCAATATACACTAATCGTATCATTTCTTCATGTGGTACTCCACATTTTTTGGTAGATAATTCACTTGTATTATCTCAGATTCAGTTACTCAAAACGTCTATGGATATTCTCAGATTTTGACCACAGATGTCTAAGAAATATTGCCAGCATCTGTTGGGATCACCGGGTAAGTAATAGTGAGGTTAAAAGTAGTGTATTAGAAAATGATGGTAAATCAGTTGATGAAGTTGTGCATCTTCATCGACTGAGATGGTTGAGCCGCGTGTTACATGTTGGAAGAAAGTTATGAGGGCGGCCAAACCAAAACATGGCATCAGTCCTTGAAGTCACTAACGTCTGTTCTGAGCCATGTTAGTAGATACAGACTACTCGGTTAGGGTCTGCCTGACTATCGTAATCAATGGTTGGAGACTCTGTGTGACATGGCTCAGAATCAATCACAATGGCGTAGGTGTATATACTCTCTGTTTTCTCTTAAACTATGAGATTAAAATTACTTTATATCTTTCTTCCTACGAACTAATCTTTTCTTCTATATATTACTACCATTGAAGTAACTACTTCAACGAATTTGTTTACCTTGTTACGCTAATGAGGTGTGGCAGTTTGAACCGATGTATATATGTACCTGGTCCTACCTTGTGGATGACTGGTTCTCAAATTTTACTCTCCAACCGCAAATACGTTATCAGGTCCGAGTTTTCTTAACTCACTTTATCAGCAATCTTTCAGATAGTGTATCAGCTACGGGAAATCGCAAGAGACGGACATATGATAATCTTTCTCTTGCATCTAACTTTATCGCTAAATATTTGGTCCACTTGAAAAGAGGTATTTTAATAATTTGGCTATCAGGATTTAATAGCTAAATGGATAACGCCATGGCGTTTGTAGCGAACGATACTGGGTCCCAGTCCCAGAGTGAACATCAAACCTGAGATATAAGTACATCAGGTTGACGAGTCCCAAATAGGACGAAACGCGCATCACGCTGGATTCCTCTGCTGATTACTATCCATCTTTGCTTATAAAGCTTGTAAATTCAAGCAATATTGAGGCAGGATGCCCATATGCTAACAAGAGACTAATGAATTGTAGTCTTAAATGACAATGGTAAGATACAAGTAAACAACACCAAGGGAATAGATTAAGTTTCAATAGAAAATTCAACAGCTCATCTCATTTACATACTGGATAAATCATAGTATATCACATTCCTTAAGTAGTACGAATGATGGACTAATTGATTGATTAGTAGTCATATGATAAGTCAAATACCTATAGAAATCGGGTTGTATATATTTTCGATTCGAAAAACCAACTCTGGAACCTTGGATTATCATGTGTTGCCTGTTTAAGTAGAGAAAATGTTAGTTTATCTATGAAAGGATCATATGAATTCAATTATAATCTATTCAGCTTTTTTATTGTACACAAATGTAATAACTTTTGGTACTAACTAGTTTAGTAAAATTCAAACATCCACATTTTCGTGTTATGTTTAATCATTCTGAATTTACATCACGAACTGGTATTGCACAAACCGAAGCAATGAACAGCTCTTTCATCTTGATATGACATGTCTCAGTTGTATACATCCAAAACCCTACCATTGGGTGGTGACTGTGCTATCTATAGGTCAAACACGCAGCAAAACCTAAAGGTGCTGGATCCAATCCTTAGTGGGATTAAGGACACACACTGCTGGGATATTCCTTACCAGAATGATATATCTATTAAGTACTTCTTTATTTTCACTGATTAATTAAGGTCACTTCATAATGTAAGCCACACAATCTCACAAACCTCTTGTACTTCTCTATCGTTTATTGTGTTCAAAGCACTACTAGAATAAACGGGTTACATTTATAAGTGCAGAATTTGTTACATAAAATCATATTCAGTTCAATTTCATACATCTATATAGCATGATGTTTTCCGTTCCTTCAGTCTTGTTTGTATTATGCTCACTACTTGAATAACGTAGAATACGGTATACAACTACAACACTCAAACGTATAGAATCCCACAGTCACAAATCAGAAGAAAGCTGGAGAAGTGTTTGTTGGGTAAGAATCAAAATGTACAGAAAATCATGGGTGTTTATAGATATTAGCGTTTGTTATATCAACATTATAATTCAGCCAATCTTCAAAGCGGCATGTTATGCCACTGTTCAGTAGTAGTAGTAGTATACCACGCCGATATTCTAGAAAGTTCTCTCACGTTAGGATTGAATGGAAACTCTTCGGCTACTTTAGGACTTCTAGAGTCTCTTTCGTAATTCTAGGAAACCGTCACAACAATTTGTAACTGTCTTCAATCCAGAAGATCTTAGTTTACATTCTCATTTACCTTGTTTGTTTAAAGTTCAGTTTGTGTTCATCAAAAACATTCGAATCATCTGATTCTTCTATGTATGGATGATCCATTTCAATGAGAATAAATAAATATGTTACTTTTTTTCGTAAATGCACAACTTCAGGACTTCATATAACAAGAATTCTTGGTGAAATTTGAAGAAGTTAAGGTACTAGTTTAAAACCACTAAATACAACGATTGGCCAATCAGAAATCGCTAATGAGAAATGCGCATGATTAGTGAAAGAATGGCTTTATTTTACAATGGACAAGGTATAAGATATTGAATGGCCTATCTTTCTTAGGGATATGTATATACAATATTGAATGAGTTAAAAATGTAATTTTGCCTATATCCCGTTATTATCAATCAAGCGTATAGTTGCTTTTTGATTCGGTTAGCCAATGAACTTCCTTTCTCAATCCTCGCCTTTTCTCCCTAGTAGCTGGGCTTAAAATGCTTGTGAATTAAGGCGATGCGCACAGGATGAATATATATATATCAATAAGAGACTGATCCATTGCAGTCCTAAACAACAATGGGAAGATACAAGCAAACAATGCCAAGTGAATTGTCCTCATTTATTTATTTAATACACATATACATTCTGACACAATTATTGGGCAACGAAAATGTTATGACGTGAAAAATATTTGATGCGGATTAAGAGTAGCGAATTATTGATCGGACCAAGGACGCGCAAACACGTAGAACGACCTAGGGTTCTGATTGGTCTCGCTTCCCTGTCTAACCCAGCCAGTTGAGTCCAGAACGAAAGTCTCAGCCTCGGATATATGAATCATTATATTTCAAACATACTTTGTTTATATACCAGTCAAGCAGACCACAACGTACCATAAAATAGAAAATAACATTGTACAATAATGGCCAGTAGGAAAATGACACGTTAAATAAATATTGATCAATAAGATGATACTATTTCATGTCCAAGGATAGCATTAAGCTTAACAGGATAATTTTTGGGATATTTCCTTGAATATCCCAACAGAAAACAATAAGCATCACACAAATAAAACGATAACATTTTAAAGAGAAAAACAAACAAACAATAGAAGGTAAAGGGATATAAACACAAAACTGAACAACGATAATTAATAATGAAAAAAAGAGAGAAAGAAAAACAAAAAAAACGTTTCAACAAGAAATTCAACCGAGGAAACCTTATCTTCTGGTTAAGCGTCTTCTTTTTCAATTTTATAAAGAATATGCCTAATTCGAATGAAAGTCAAAGGTTTTTCATTTATCTCTACTCTACTGTACTGTTTTGTTAGTAAAACACAATTAAATAGATTTAGTTATTATTTGAATTGAGATAAGCTTCTCATTCATTTTGTTTGATCTTAGTTTAAAGAATGTTAGATCTATTCATGTTATAACTTGTGGCCTGTGTGTCTTGTTAATGTAGAACGTAATGATACCGCCAATTAGAGAGTAGTGAATTATCAATCGGACCAATGACGCCTAAAACTCATGCAAGCAGTCTAGAGTCCTTCTCAGTCCTGTTTCGTGCCTAGCCCAGCCAATTCGATCCAGAACATCAATTTTAGCCTCTGTGACATGAATCATTTATGAGGTTTATATTACCAACCAGACAGACCACATCGTACCAATAAAATTGGCTATTCTCCTGTATAACTATTGAATAACGCAATCAAATAAGTTAAATACGAGAATGGATCTTTGAATGTGTATATTTTATACACTCGTTGATTGGAACAAACAATCAGAGAATTGCAGTGAATGAAGCGAAACGAAATGATGCACAATGGAGAAGATATATGAGCCAACTCTTATTTAATCAAGCGTTAATCAATATTTATTTAGCCAGATACAAATAAATTACAAACATCTGATGAGTAAGATAGGAAATGCACACATACACCTACATAAGCGAATAATAAACAAGGTCAAGATGTGAATCCAGAACAATGAATAAATTGTCCTGTCCCGAAGCTAGAATAATCTATGTGGAGTTAATCTAGTAACCGACACTACATTGTTATATTGAATAAGGAGAAGAGATGTATTCTTATTGATAAATTGAACCATGTACTAATGATGGATTTGGTCCATGAACAAATAAAGGATTCGGACCATGTGAAATTATACGTGAACTGAGTAATTTAGGATTTGGACCAATAGGTTGATAACGATGTAATTTTTCAGTTGAGCAAAGAATTAAACCCATGGTTTCGTCTGTATATCTAGATGATCCATTATTCTAAAAAAAGAATATAATTAATTAAAATAAAAAAAACTGACAATAAAACTTAGCAAATATGAATCTTATAGTTCATGTGAAGGACTAATCTTAGTTAGACAATCATTAAAAATAAGGAAACACTCGAAAACTGTTTCTGTATTGTGTGCTACTGATGTCGGCAGATATAAGCAGTATGTACCACCAATTGAAAGTAGAATGCCTAGAGGCAGAAGAATAAGAAGATCGAAGAGAAGAAAACGAGAACAGAGAATGATTGCTGTGAAAATAAAGAAACTATGAAGCGTGAGACAATTGACATTTTGCAAATGAATTGTTTACTCTATGCTTCTCAGATTTTACTACGACGTTCTGTAAATCTGTGTTCAAATAAATTCGAATGTCCTCACTTGTATTCTCGTTCACTACATTTGTTTTCGCTACCAACCAGGATGGGAGGAAGGGTGCTGTTCTGTGTATGCCGTTGTGGACCTTGACCTGAGCTGCTGGTTGGAATAGTCTGGTGAGTAGGAAGGATTTGAATGTGACCAACTTGGTCCCGTGTGTTGTTACGGGTATGAGGGCTGATATCACTTCCCGGCTGCTCACACCGTGGAAGGGTATTTCTTAAGGGACCTGAAAAGGAAGTTGGATTAATGTTGGTTTCAACGACCTGGGAGCGTGACTGCAGAGCCCAAGGGACAACTGCTTGAGGCCGGTCGCGCACGACCTTTTGTGGGAGGTTTTTAACGTGCGAGCTCCGTTCTTCAAAGAGCCTTACCGCCGGAGACTGAAATCCGTGAGGTAAGGTGAGGCATGAAAATTTTAGGGTCGACTTTTTTTAATCACTTCCTTTCTTGTGAGGAGGCAGCATCGCTGCAGATGCTGGTTGTCCGAAGGAAGCATCTTACTGCTGTCACACCCCTCTATAGTCAACAGTACGACTTCGCCCTCAGACCTAGAGTTGCTACTTTTAGTCTTACAGTTCTCCAATCGACCTGCCTGGCATGGTAGAAACTACAGGAACATATGTTCTAGTCAATATAGCTTGGTTGGGTCATCACGATAGGCAAGCCCGACCACCACGTCAAGATAGCAGCTACGGTCGGGAAGGGAGGTTAACGTGAGGAGGGTTAACGTCGAGTGAAGTGTTCTGGCGGGGAGGCAATGGCTGTAGTGGGTGTTGCCGACGGAAAGGAGCGGGGGGACATACGACCGCTGGGTGGATATCGGATGTAGATGGCTCAGCAGGTCGCTGGAGTGCATCTGCTGAACGTCCCGGGCGCTGGGTTTACGTAGGATTTTGATGGCCCGGCAGGTCGACGGAGCTATAGATGTCAACGCGCCTCAGACTCGACATTTCGACGGTGAGCATGGTACAGACTGTATAACAGAAGTGGTTCGGCGAGCAGAACTCATGCAAACTACATAACTGCAGATTTTGTACATTAAAAACACTCGACAGCTTATTCAGTAAAGTTATCTATACATGAACTAATCTTGAAAATAAAGGTTTTGGCATACTTTCGTTTTCTATTCAAGTTTCAAGAATGAAAGAGCTCTAAGGACTGAGAAGTTTTTTTTTCAATTCACTGTTATTTTATGCAATAGATTGACGTATTTATGAATTATACAAAAAAAAAGAAAATTCATGAACAAATTTCACTTAGACCACAGTATATAAACTGTGTTGATGCAATATATATCATATCTGTATCCTGTTCTTTATTATAACCGGTCGGAAAAATTTGCTTTGGATGAATTGAACAAGTGCAGTCATTATTACAGTTTCATAATATAGCCATCTTGTCTATCCAAAAAGGTTTCCTCTAGAAATTCTTATGTAAACTTGTTATGTGGTTAGGATTAGTAATGTATTGGTGAACGACTTTTAGACGATTAAACTAATAATACCGGGAAAAGTCTTCAACAGGGTATTGTTAAACAGGATGAAAGACTGCGTAGACGCCCAACTTCGTGACCAACAGGCAGGATTCCGTAAGGATAGATCGTGTACAGACCAAATCGCAACTCTACGGATAATTGTGGAACAATCAATTGAATGGAATTCATCACTCTACATCAACTTTATTGACTACGAAAAGGCATTTGATAGCGTGGACAGAACAACACTATGGAAACTTCTTCGACACTACGGCGTGCCTCAGAAGATAGTCAATATCATACAGAACTCATATGATGGATTACACTGCAAAATTGTGCATGGAGGACAGTTGACAAAGTCGTCCGAATTGAAGACCGGTGTTAGGCAAGGTTGCCTACTCTTACCCTTTCTCTTTCTCCAGGTGATCGACTGGATCATGAAGACGTCAACGTCTGAAGGGAAGCGCGGGATACAATGGACATCTAAAATGCAGTTGGATGATCTAGACTTCGCAGATGATCTGGCCCTTCTATCCCAAACGCAACAACAGATGCAGGAGAAGACAAACAGTGTGGCAGCAGCCTCAGCAGCAATAGGTCTCAATATACACAAAGGGAAAAGCAGGATTCTCCGATACAACACAGAATGCACCAATCCAATCACAATTGACGGAGAAGATTTGGAAGATGTAAAAGCCTTTACGTATTTGGGCAGCATCATTGATGAACAGGGTGGGTCTGATGCAGATATGAAGGTGCGGATCGGCAAAGAAAGAGCAGCATATTTACAACTGAGGAACATCTGGAACTCAAAGCAACTGTCAACCAACACCAAGATCACAATTTTCAATACAAATGTCAAGACAGTTCTACTGTATGGGGCAGAAACCTGGAGAACTACGAAAGCCATCATCCAGAAAATACAGGTGTTTATTAACAGTTGTCTACGCAAAATACTTCGGATCCGTTGGCCGGACACTATTAGCAACAACGTACTGTAGGAGAGAACAAACCAGATCCCAGCGGAGGAAGAAATCAGGAAGAAGCGCTGGAAGTGGATAGGACACACATTGAGGAAAGCACCCAACTGCGTCACAAGACAAGCCCTCACATGGAATCCTCAAGGCGAAAGGAGAAGAGGAAGACCAAATAACACATTACGCCGAGAAATGGAGACAGGCATGAGAAGAATGGACAAAAATTGGATAGAACAAGAAAGGAAGGTCCAGGACAGAGTGGGTTGGAGAATGCTGGTCAGCAGCCTATGCTCCATTGGGAGTAACAGGCGTAAATAAGTAAGTAAACTAATAATATCTGATAATAATTAACAATCCTATGACTAATTATGGGGTCCTAAACTTAAATTTGAGCCACATTGTGAAACATAAATTAAGTCAGTGATAGTCAACGTAGATTATGACAAAAATGAGTGTTAACACAAGTTATTGTAGCACATTAGCAAGACAAGATAAATAGCAAATACGTGGGGATATGGTTGTCGTAACAAACACAGTAAAAAAAATGATAAAATATTGAGAATGTGGTTCAAGAAGACGAAAAAAAAAGGTGTATATGAAGAGAAATTGGAATACATTTCCACTATTGTGACCGATTCTGGGCCGTGTCATCCAACGTGAGAAACCACTGATCGCAGGTTGTCTGTAACAACTAACAAGGCTCAAATCAACAGTCAATGACTTCATGGTTTGTGAAGTATATCACAACGTTGTTTCTAAACCAAAGTAGGAAAGGCAATGGTCATATTCACGATTAGGTGGTAGAAAGTTGAATTTTTCAATAACACACCAAGTCCAAAGGCTACGCAAAAAAACTAGTGTAGTCCAAACTAATAGTTTGATACTTCCTTGAATTTATCGCAGTCATCTCAGATGGTGTACCATCGAAAACCAGAAAGGACCATACACATATTTTGGTTTAGTATGAGCCTCCCTAGAAGTACACACCTACGATCTTGCTAGGGATATAGCTCAGGACTTCCAGGTTTTAGGACGTACGCTCAAACATTCAAATCAGAGTCCAACGGTGCACTATCAACACGACGATCATCCTTAATGTACATTTTCCTGCATCGAAATGTATAAATTTATCCATTGATATGACAGAGGAAGGGAAGTGTCCACTCTCACTCTCCAAATGTTCTCACATGGTCACACGTATACATCCACCGACAGAGAAATCCCATTGATTGCTTTCCCACGGCATTACAGTTGTTCACAAGATTTAGAGGACGAAAAGTGAATTTCTGGAGCTTTAACTGGGTTGGTGGATAAGGAGGGTCCACCTAGGGAGTTGGAAAACCCTGACTCCAAACTAATAGTGCACATGGGCTCCAGCATCCTGAGGGAACAAATGGTGTATGAACCTGCTATTGGTCACTTTTAGTTTGTAGGCTCCGGGTGTGGTCCCCTAAGAAAACCACCAGCTCGGTTTGAGCACCCGAGTAATATCACAATCCATACACAAATCAAGTGGCTTGTGTGGCGCATATCTATTCGGTGCCCCCTTGTACCAACATTTATGTGTTCAAATAAATAATAAATAAGGTAGTGATGTGATAAACATTACATAGCACTCACCAATGACTGCTTTTCAACCGATATTTCTGTAGTATTAACCTTTTGCAATGGATTATTTTCAGTGAGAATAACGGTATTGGAAGTAACAGTTGTAGTAGTAACAGCAGTATCAACGTGTTTTTCTAGCGACAACCTGCTGGAATTATTAAATGTTGAATAGAAAGAATGCGAAAACAACACATGAAACCAAATAAAGGATCAAAAAGAGAATAGAAAGATTTTCAGGAAAAACAAACGGTTTTTTGCCGACTATTCTAAAACATGATGTTGAGTTAATTAGAACTGGTGGGCATATCACAACGTGATTGATAGAATTCAATCAGTACTTTGAAGGAATAAACAAACATGAAACTGGCTACCAATAAAAGAAACAATCAATCTACTAGACTGAAATGAATGCAAATCATTGACATTATTCGTTAGCTTCACTTGGTGTCGTTTGCTTGTATTTTTCCATTGTTGTTTAGAACTGCAATTGATCAGTCTCTTATTGGCATATGTGCATCCTGTGTGGATTGCATCGGTATTGCCTTAATTTACAAGCTTTTTTTAAAGAAAAGATGAATAGTGGCTAGCAGTGGAATCCAAGACGCGCATCTCCTCCTATTCGGGACCCGTCAGCTGGATGTAGCTGCACCTCAGAGATGATGTTCACTCCGGGACTCAAACCCAGTACCGTTCACTCCAAACGCCATCGCATTATCCACTTAGCTACTGAGCCCTGATAGCCACTTGCTTGTGTAATTGGATGAAGTTTAAATTCACTTGGCATTGTATGCTTGTATCTTCTCATTGTTGTTTAGAGCTGCAATTGATCACTCTCTTTTATAGGCATATGTGCATCCTGTGCGAACTGCCTCGATATTGCCTTAATTCACAAGCATTATAAGCAAAGATTTATAATGGCTAGCATCTATTATCTTACTAAAAGGTATGCCATTTTTATTAAAATTTTTCATAATAACAACAAAAAACAATGTGATGTAGCGTATAGGCAGGATTCGTTTAGAATCTTTAGTGTTAAAATAATTTACTGTGTTGATGTTAAAGTCTGCCGTTAAGCGGTAGCTAAATAGTTTAATTCACCTTTAGGCCACTAATTCGCGGATTAGAACCCGCCCCAGCTACTTCAGTCCAAGAAATCGAATAGCATTACTCTGGTCCTCAGAAATAGAGTATGGCCTGAAGTGAAATACATTAAATCTGGTCTTTCTTACTGGTTATTTCAATATCATTAACTTTTTTAATGAATTATCTTGTTTTTGTAGAGATTATTGGATGTGTATTTTTCATTGTGGATGAGTGACTTTAGATAGGAAACTATCTGTCCAGTGTTCGTTTTCTCGTGTTTTAATAATTTAGAGACTGATTCCATTCCATCGTGAAAATACCCTATTTATTTAAACACATAAAAATGGGACAAGGATGCACCAACGAGATATGCGCATATAAATAATCGATTTATGTGAGGGCTGGGATACTGCCAGGGTGCTCAAACCGAAGAACGTGGTTTTCTTAAGGGGCCACACTTCGAGCCTTCGACCGGGGGTCTGACCCACAAGGCAGTGGAGTGACGTCAGGAGATGCAGTCACATGGTAGCAGGTGACCAACAGTTGGTTCATACGCTATTTTTTCCTCAGGATACTGGAGCCCGTGTGCACCATTTTGTTTTGGAATCAGGATTTTTCAACCCCCCCCCAGATGGATCCTCTATAACCACTAACCCGGTTAAAGCGCCAGACATTTGCTTTTCGTCCTCTCAATTTCGTAAAGAACAGTAGTGCCACGAGAAGGCGGTGAGTGGGACTTCCCTGGCAGTGGTTGTATGCGCGTGGCCACTTGAGAGCATTTCGAAAGGGAGGGCGGACTCTTCCCACTCTTGGTCGTCCCAGGGCATTTGGTGGTATTTTTACCACTCAATGATTGATTAATACAAATTAGTTTGACTAAAATTATAAATAAGTTATTGAAGAATTCTCGTAGGGAAGTGGTGTCAGTTACTTACTTAATTTGAAGTGACTCTTTATCATTTTGTGTGGATTCTGATATGTCCCCTTTTTTAATTGATTCCGTAGCAAAAACATTATCATCAACATTGTGATCATCATTATCTGTTGGTGTTTTTGGTAATAATGAATCATATTTAGATTTTTTATTAGTTTTCGGTGAAAAATAAATTGATGAATGATATGATTCATTATCATTTTGTGAACAAACACTTGATTTTGATTCACGATTACGATGTGTTGAAGTAGTTCTTCCTTTGGAATAAGTATCTTTTCGTGATGAATTTTCTCCATTTGGTTCAATTCGACTACGATGTGTTTTTGTAGCGGGACCATCTTTACTATGATCATCTAAAATCAAAATAATAAAATATAGTAGGATGAATACTAATTCAAATTTTTAAATTAGACTGTTAAAATGGTGATACTAAGTTTGAAAAAGTGGTTCTTGCCATGGAGAGAAAAAAAGGTGAAAATCACGAAGCGTTAGATATCCACTTCTTTCAGGCTCGGTACTCATCAACTATATGCACCTACGGTAACACACAGACTTAATGCTTGTAATTTAAAGGATCTATACCTATTGCCAGATTTAAAGGTCCTGGCTTTTTCACGAAACAATTCCTATACAGATTGCGTTTTTAGTAACATTGATCATCGGATTGTTTGTTCAAACTTCACTGGTTTTGATTTGGTTAACTGGATAATAGTATCACCAACCTTTGTACAAATAATGTGGTTTAAAGTCAAATACATGAAGTTAATTACATTAGTTAGTGGGACATTGGCGTATGTTGTTTTAATCTTGGAAAGATTAACAAGAAAAATGCTACACAATTACTACGTTGAAAGTACATATATATGATGAAATGCATGCTGAAAGACAGAAACAAGTTTGTTTAAAAAGTAAACATGTAGTAACAAAAGTATCACCTAAAATTCCGTTATTAACGTTTAAACACAATGTTATTGTTATAAATGGCCGCAAAAATAATATGCATCACAAAAGAAAATGAGGTCGTGAAGAGATAGAAAGAGGAGTGAGGTAAGAATCAAATAGATGTCATCTCGCGCTCGGGTGTAGATCCCAAAGAAAATCGCCTGCTTTGGTTTGGGCACTCTGGCAGTATCACAGCCCACACACAAATCAAGTGACTTGTGTGGCGCACATGTATTCCGTGCCCCTTTGCACCAATATTTATGTGTTCAAATAAATAAATAAAATAAAATGATCAAGTTTCAGTGTAACTAGGGTATCTAAAAAATCTTAATCAAACAATTATACATTGTATATTTGTTTACAGCGGTTTTGTAAATGATACTTATCAGTTTATAATAGAATCAACCTTAGAATTAATGAAATCTTCATAAAGCACGTATGTGAGACTAACCATGAAATACCATTACCAACAACAAAGTCTTATCATATAAAACGATAGCGTAAATGCAGTTAAGCAGTTTCAAGTATCAGATCATACAACCAATTCACCAAAACAGTAGAGGAAGAACCTTAATTTAGTAGTAATTTCAGTTAATTTTCGATTACAATGATATGTTTAGATAAACTCCTAAATTATTTTGCATACCGATAAATTTGCATACATCCAATAGTTCGCTAGGACTGGGATATGAGTGATTAATTATACATAAACAAGTATTTTATCATTTCCCCCTTCAAATGCCCTGATAAGGCTGGGAGTGGAGAAAGTCAGCTCTCCCTCTCCAAATGCTCTCACATGACCACGTACATACAACCACTGACAGGGAAGTCCTACTCACTGCCTTCTCGTAGCATTACTGTTCTTTACGAAATTGAGAGGACGAAAAGCAAATGTTCGGCGCATTAACCGGGTTGCTAAACACGGAAAGTCCACCTGAGAGAGTTGGAAAGCCCTGATTCCAAACCAATGGTGCTCAAGGATCCTGAGGGGACAAATGGCGTATTAACCAATCGTAAGTCACCGGCTACCATGGGACTGCATCTCCTGACGTCGCTTCACTGTCTTGTGGATCAGACCTTTAGGTCAATGGCTCCAGGCATGGCCCCTTAAGAAAACCACGTTCTTCGGTTTGTGTACCCCGGCAGTATCATAGCCCTCGCATCAATCGAATGATTTGTGTGTGCATATTTATTTGGTGCTTCCTTGTGTCAATGTTCATGTGTTTAAATAAATAAATAAATATTATCCTCTACTCAACTTTGAAAAAAAATATTACTGGTACAAACTATAGTGAAAATGTAAGCAATACCAAATAGCTTAAAAATAGCACTTACCGCATGGTTTAGGGTTAACAGATTTTGGATTTTTTTGTGACCTATGAGTAAAATAATATTTTTTTAAAATCAAGTGAACTGAACTTCTAGAGAAATATATATATGTACACATATAACTCGTTTACGAATAACAGGTGTCAGCAGAACATAAATTGAATTAAAGCATGCTCCATGCAGTAATGTGTTAGGGCACGCTAATTAGCTATTTCTTAACCAATCAGCGCTAGTGGATACCTGAAGACTCTACAATCTCGTGTAAAAACTATGAGTATACTAACATTGTCCTGTCGTGATTCCTACTTCCATCCAACCTTTTTATTTGGAATGTAATAATGTTCCTGTTCAACCGTGTTCTGATTTAGGGACTTTTCGAGTGAAGCAGTGTCCAAGAATGCTAGGCAATATGAGTGGCTTGGTCGTAATAAAAGAAATCGTAACAACAGGTTAATTTAGACAACTTGGAATTGCTAACGATTAGTTCCCAGCTACTGAGGTGAAATTAGGATCTACGAACTATTAGTTGAAAAGCAAATGGTCTGGTAACCAAAATGAAGGGTTGCTAAACGATAAAAAGGACAAATTCTAACAATATTGACTAGATAAACATCCATAACAATTGACCATCTTTTATCTGAAAGTCCTACGATGAATTATAGTCAATCAAAAATAAGTAGTCGATACAACTTATGAAAACATTTTAAAATATAAAGGAATAATTATATGAATCAACTTTACTTAGAAGAAATTTCAGGTATGTCGAAAAATTCACCAATTAAATCTTGTCGATCACCAAAACCCATTCGATAAGTATTCTAAAGCATACTTATAATAATGAAATCATACTAAAAGGTCTAATTGTTGAGCAGAATAATATGCAGGTCGTGGATCATCCCAACTAGTAGTCTTATCCTCATGATTGATATAATACCTACATAAAATGGTTATTGACAAATAATATTACACAATATACAACAAACCAGTGGCCGGATTCTGAGTCGAGTCGAGACTCCCAGTTAGGAGGTAATGGCATGTCTGAATAATCAGATGACATTATTTATACTGAGGAGATATTATTCAATCTGAAAGTTAAATATGAGAAAAGAAGTATAAAAGTATAAACGAAAACTAATTAGATGGAAGTATTTAAAGGTTATTTCCAGGTATTTGAGAACAATTAAAGGAAACCAATACTTCCAAACTTGATATCCTAATAAATAGCTATTTCACCTCAAAAAGGGATATATCCTTTTAAAAACATAGGTCAGCGATACTCTAATTTAGCGACGACCTTTGAACGAATCTTAAATGACCTTGACAATTATTAGCCAATCAGAAGACAGTTAGTATAAAGTGAGGATATATTGTAAGTAAGTAATGAATTACAGTGAATATTCTTCTTTCACATGATTTAAAAACTTGTTAAGGTTTGATAAATGTTCAGAGGCTCTGAATTCAATATGCATATAGTATAGAAACTTGTTCATAGGGTTAGTCGTTAGAGTTGTAGCCTAGGGTTAAGGTTAAAGTTAGGAGTTGGGGTTAAGGTTGGGTTAGGGTGCTAACATGCGATCAGTTTACAACGGACTTTAGAGGTTAGGGTTTAGGGTTATGGTTAGGGTCAGGGTGGAGCTATAGCCTGTCAAAATACACCTCTTCTCTAAAATCTGATTTAAACCGATCGCATGTTAGCACCCTCACCCTAAACTAACCTTAACCCTACACCCTAACCATAACCTAACCCTAAACCCTAATCTAACCCTAACTCTAAACCCTAACCTTAACCTAACCCTAAACCCTAATGTAACCCTAACCCTAAACCCTAACCTTAACCTAACCCTAATCTAACCCTAACCTTAACCCTAAACCCTAACCCTATGGACGAGTTTTTATACAATATGCACTATGAATTCAGAACTTCTGAGCCTTTATCAAACCTCAACAAGTTTTTAAATCATGTAAAAGAAGAATATCCACTGTAATTCATTACTTTCTTGTAATATATTTTTACTTTATACTGTCTTCTGATTGGCTAATAATTGAAATTGCTCTAACGCTTCTCATTCGCTCGTCCCTGAATAAGAGTTTCGCCGTCCCATCTGTTTTAACCTCTCATTAATCACCTCCTCTCTAAAATCCGCTGTGAACCGACCGTATGTTAGCATCGCGTGTTGAACTTGGCTCCGTGACCTTGAACTCGCTCAAACGCTTCTGATTGGTTCGTCGCTAAATTAGAGTCTCGCCCATAGGTCTCAGTACAAATTTTTTCAAAAAAATTTGACTAATAATACCAGAGTATGTTGTGTTATGTGAGTGTAAAACTCAATTAATCTCCGAAGAATAAACCCTTTGAACAACTTATCATTTTAAAACGTTATCCCAGATACATATGACATTAACTCGCCTACCAACAAAACATAGTACAGAAAAATATTGTGTTCCACTCTTCCAGAGTTTACTAAGGCTGATCAAAGATAAATAATGAAAACGTGTATAGTTTTTTGGTCATTAGTATGTTTTAAGAACCACTACCCTGATGTCACTCCACTATATGAGGTATCGTGTAAATGATGTGTCTACAAAGTCCAAGAATAAAGTGAATAAGTTTTTTTTGCGAATTACTAGTAAAAGCATAGATTAAAATATTAAACTGACAAAAGTAGAAATGGTAAGAGTGGCGTAACTAGTAGTCAAATCAAGACAGAGTTAAAATGTTGAGTTGATTAGTCCCAGTCTGAGTCTTGCTTGGTTACATATACATATAAATTGCGATTGAGAGAATCGAAAAGCTAGAAATGTTTCAACACACTAGTATTAATTCGGATTTATCTAAAGGTCGTTTCATTACCATGTTTACAGGCACATCTGCCCTGAGCTTTAAGTGTATGGTATCGAATGTGATGGTCATATGGTACTATCAAATTTAAAAAATTGGCCACAAATTAAAACCATACCGTTATACGTTTAATGACCCCCTTCCTCATACGCTTTGCAAATGATTCAAAAGATAATAAGTAACCGAAGTCGTATAAACATACTGTATGTAAATGTACGATCATATGAGTTCCACGTATGAAGGCTTCAACTAGTTTCAGAAGTAAAGTACATGGGCGAACCGATCGGATTTCAACTCAATCAATCCATCGATTACAGTCAATATCGTAATGCAATGAAAATCGTTGTATCTTATGCACAAATGTTCATATTCCATGTTGCATTTGTCAAGCAAGGACAATATAGTTATGTTTTTAATGTGAATAATTTCAGTATTCGCGACGCAACAAACATTGTCTCTTTGACGGCCAAAGGTAGCCCATATACTTTACTTTCAACGAAGTTGACAATTCAGGGTTTGAAGTGTATTACACGGAGATGCTTACAATACTCACGGCAAATAGTCAGAAATAAGCTACGCAACTGGAGTAGCAAGCATTAGAAACTCCCACCCACTTTCAGTGAGTGAACATCCAATATCTCTAATTTTGTATTGTATGAGTCAGACATACTTAATTCCTCTTGTTTCAATACGGATCTTATTATCTAATTGATGCCGATCTTGTCAATTGGTTGAACTAGTTCTAGTTGGCTTGACAGTTGTTTGTAAATTTATGTATTTCATAATTTGATTAATTGCATTAGTCTCAGTGAAGTAGGGTGACTGGAGCCAGTAGATACAACATTACAAGAGATAAAAATTCTTTTAGTTGCACTGAAAAAATAACGATGAGTGGATCTGAATTTTAAAGGAAACGACTGTTACTAAAACGTTCATGAAGACATCAATGGTACGCAAAAATGTGAAAATGGAAAAGAAAATGGAAATGATAATGACTGAAAGAACTCATGGTATGTATCGAGGGTAATGGTTGAAAATTTATCAGACGTCCATCACTCACAGCTAATCCAAGAGCGAAGTGGTAATCCCTGAGAAGTTACCTGTTTGTCAAATTTTCTCTTGAGACTGTAGTGACCTACTTTTACTGAGAGAACGCGATAAGTTTAATGGAAACAATTATTATTATAACCAATTGCACCAGCGATTGTTTTACTGTGCTCGTTTTTTTTAACTGTAGTGAAGACATTCCTTACACCTCCATTATTTCTCCTTTGACTGTGGCCTATTACGCTCGCACGTCTGCCCATTGATTCCGCTTGTATTTCCTTTGGCACGATCTCGGTATGCTTTCGATACCACGAGATCGTCAACCAACGAATCTTGTTACAACCTTCATCTGCCTTCTGATTTCCTGGCACGCGCTCTTCTTGTAGTGGTGTTCATAGTCAACCGCGACTCGACTCCACGCTACAAGACTATCTGCTAGTAGGGGTGAAACCAATTTATTTGTCAGATAATCTCGAATGGGGGCAACTCTAAGTGATAAAAAGTGGGAGAACAGTCTAGATTTTATTATATGTCAAGTTTTTTTTGGAGGTTGACTCGAGGAGCGTGGTTATAATATTCTGGTAGAACGTATCTATTGTAATGACTTGGCGAGCTTAACATGCCACAAACCATTATCAAGACACCTGTTATTCTCCTATCGTTCAGCAAGAGACATTCTGAGTGTCAGAGTCCATGCTAACAAGATGTGTCTCTTTTTCCTGTCATCCACTTAGTTTCCCATCTTTATACCTGACCTATGAGATTTGTTACATTTGAAAAAAGGGGTACAAAACGATGTTGCGCAATACTAACAGGAGTCTTCAGTATGATTCAAATGATATCATAAATAACTGCAGGGTGAATGCATAAAGCTATCCTTGTATGAATTTAAGGGCTATATTTGCTCCGGTGTCATCTTGAAAAATAGTTTGAAATGATGTCTATGCTAAATGTGATCACAAGTTTCAGATATTGCTCAGAGAAGAAAAATAAAGGCTACTTTTCACCTAGGAAACAGGAGACATCCTATTTTGATAAGTTAAATATTGGTCCGTTGTCCACTACCTATTTTATTATTATTGTTATATCCTTTTAAAATTCCAATAAATCCTTCTCGCTATCCATGGACCTCCTTATCCGAACGCCGTCAGTGTACACCAAATTCACTAAGCTCATCCTGTTGACGATGCAATGAAAATTCAAAAGACTAGAAAATGGAAACTGTGGAATACAAACTAGTGTTTGGACTGAAGAATAGCCGTCCAGGTAGGTTAGACACGCGCCTTTGCCCGTCAAAATCAAAACAAGTAATCGGGTAAATGACGGTTCTATAATTCATCATAAATTTAAATGTACATCGTTACCTAAACAAATATTACTACCCGGCCATTCAAACAAATAATTGTTCAATTGATCAAATCTAAATCACAATAAATAAAGTTGATAAAAGGTGAGGGAAAAATTACCAGTCACAACAGATGAACGCTATTCTATCCTGAATGGATAGAACATGCACAAAAGAAGGAGCAAATCAATATGGCTGCCGCCAAGACCAAGTATCAAGTAAAACGACATAGATGCAGCTCGGGAAGAAACACAAATCCTTAGTGAAGGCGTGAGAAAAAATAAAACTATAATAAAAAATACAAATATTAACAATTCAAATGTAATCAAAAGACTAACAATGTACAACTAAGAGGATCAATAGGAACAAAGTGCAGGTGTATACATGAAGGGATTTTCACACACAAAAGATTTAAAATGGATCTTACAGAAACCTTACCTCGTTATGTTCCTGATGTCGAAAATGACAAGCTCATGAGCTATTTATCTTAATGGAAAAACACTAAAGGCTTTCTGAAATTATAAAGCATTATTTCGTTCGTCAAGATATGGAGTACAGCCTAACTGTAGAATGTCACTCTCAAAACCCCCGAGAAGGCATTGAAGTATACGCGTCAAGAAAGGAACGTTATTCTGACGAAAGGAAATAGATAAACTTGGAAAAAAATTAGAATCAGTGTAACAGTCGTCAATTTTAGGTCCTTTGTGTAAGATCCATTTGAAATGTTTTGTGTGTGTGAAATTCCCCCCATGTATATAATTGCACTTTGTTCTATTGACCCCCTTAGTTGTACCTTGTTAGATTTTTTATTACATTTGAATTGTTAATATTTGTATTTTATTATAGTTTTTATTTTTATTACGCCTTCACTAAGTCTTCGTGTTTCTTCCCGAACTGCACTTATGTTGTTTTACTTTATAATTAATCTTGGCGGCAGCCATATATGTTCGTTCCTCCTATTGATTGCGTTACCTGTGCTGACTGGAACTGTGCATTTTTGGTTGTGAATTCAGGCACTCTTCGCGAATTGGAGACACTCTATTTTATAAAGTGACCAAATATTATCTTTTGAACGAATCTATGCTTGATCTATCCAGACAGGATAGAATAGCACTTATTTGTTGTGGTTGGTAATTTTCTTGCATCCTTTATCAACTTCTTTATTTATTGTAATTTAGATTTGATCAGTTGAACAATTATTGGTTGTATAGCTGAGCGGTTATATTTGTTTAGGTAACAATGTCCATTTAAATTTATGATCAATTATAGAACTGTCATTTTACCCAATTAGATTATGTATTGCAAAACGTACTTAATCAGTAAAAGCCATACAAATAAAATAACATATTAAAAATCCAGAGTCGCAAAGGAGAAATCCTCTAAATTTAAAATGAATAGAACACATATGAAAAACATTGCTGAGAATAATAGTCTTACGATCGAACGGGAAGGTTTACCACTATTTGTAATTTATAAGCGGCAGAACTGCTACGAATGGTTATGCAGATCTGCAAAAAAGAACCTGCGGTATGATATGTATGCGCCGTTAAGTAACTTGGGATTAAAACATGATGTATGATGTATTGTGGATCTCTTGCGACGTTGATACGACATAGATTCTGCTAGGTTTGCTGCGGTTACCAGTTCACTTAGACTGCGAACGGAACAAAGACTTAGTGACCGAAAACCAATAAGCTAGCTATTTAATGCGTCCCAGCCCCGCTACCTAGAAGAAGAAGTCCAAGCTTGGAATGGAGATGTATATTCTGCAAACAGCCAGAAACGAGCGATAACAACAAACACAAATCAAAACATATAAATACAGCACAAAACCGTCCTTGTGGAAAGTTACAAAATAAAATACTAAAAGACACAAAAAACCAATAGCATTTAAGATTCTCCCAAGTGGGAAATACAACATGAAGGTGAAAAGAGCGCCTTTGGCGCGAAAACAAAGAAATTCAAATTTTCTAAATAAAATTACAAAATTAGGTCTTTTCAAATACAGTAGTGACAATTTTGAATTTCAGTGGGTCAACGTTATTTCCATATTATGTATATTACTCTGACCACTAATTAACTGTTCAAAATAAGGTGTCGTTCCTTAACAAATATTAAATATGTTCAGCGAGTATAGCTTTTGTACAAACAAGTTATTTTTAATAACCTTGTCAAAACCTGTGTGGTATTTTTTGTGTATTTAGCCACAGGTGTATATAAAATACCTGCATTCTTGAAGAATCAGCCTTTTCTTTTAAGCTATAATATAGTCATAACAAATTTCAAGGGGTTTAAATCGGTCGATAGTCAGTCCTTATAATGGTTGGTATTTTAACACACTGCAGTGGATGTGCAGAGGTTAATAAAACTCGCTCGAGAATTACAACGGTCAATTGTTGCCATAGTCATTTAGCTACTAGTATCGATTGATATGTACAATAATATATGCTACCACCAAGATGTGGATGTAAGCGCTAATCAACAAATTTTATGACTTTATGATTCAACAGGAGTAAATCTCGATCCAAAAGCTACAGTACATCAGAACCAGTTAAGAGATGAGTGATACTTAGCCCATTTTTTCAGTGCTGGCTTAAAGATTTTAATCGATATTAATAAACCTATTTGCGACACAAAATTGGTGGGCCTAATATAATATAGTTTGTATAATTCTGGTCTACTATGATATTAATACTGATCTAATACTAGACCTAATCATAAAATTGTAGATTTGTTATGATGTAACTGCCTAATCTATAAGATTTTACGTGGAAGTCACATCATTGTCTACACTGACTCATCGTATCGTAACAATTATCGATATATGATGGGGAACACATTCAGACTGGAGATAGAACAGTATATTTAATATGAGTAAAAGACACAAAAAATGCATTCAACAGGGACCACGCCTGCAAGTTCGAGACATGCCGTTTGACCAATTCGAATGACTTCAACTCACTATCCCTGCCTTATTCATCGTTGGGTTTTACTACGCGTTAACTGTTGAATATCTCTTTCCACAACTGCCAGTACGCTGCTCCACACATCTTTTTTCTGCAGAAACCGTGAAGAATACAAGTCACGATGCATTAAAATTGATAGCCTTTCTTGATTCGGTCGGTGATCATGATCATAGTTGACCAACTAACTTTAAGTCATTTAGAAGTAGCATAAAAAGATTTCCTTGTAATTTTTGGCCCTGTATGATAGATGAACGACATCTTACCACAATAACAAGTCGTATTTTCGTTATTTTCTATTTTTTGTTACTAATTTGACGATACATACATAGTCGTCTATCCTTGTTCCGTGTCCATAAACACCCCTATTAAACTATTTGCGTATTTCACGTCTCCTTTATTTCTCTTCCCCTATCTTCTCCCTTCCCTTCTTTAAACTCAATTCAATATTCTTCTCAGTTACACAGAACCTGACTTATTATCATTCTATTGTTATTACTCTCTTTTTCAAATATGGCAATTACAATGCGAACATTATTGAAACTTGCGTGTTATTACATTTTTGAAGAAACCCAAAATGGTTTATTCACAACCCTTATGTACCCATAAGGTGTTTGTGAATAATAATGATAATAATATTAAGTCAGGGGAAAATTCGGTAAGACAAAATGCGAAGATATTGCTTAAACGGAATGGTCCAAGATGGATAATTCTACATTTTCTCCTCGTCGCATTGCAGGCTATTTATAGTGCTTGTAAGTACAATCAAAACTTAGAGAATCAGCTACTTAACTTTCCTGATATATATATATATATATATATATGAGTCCAAAAGTTCTTATCTGATTAGCCATGAAGTGCATGAATGAAAACCGATCACGTAAAACGAATCATAAGAAAACAACTGAAATGGCATTATCTACATAAGGGAAACAGTAAGACACCCTTAACTGAAATTCGCTTTGGAATGATAAAACCGTAACAAAATATGAGTAACCAATGCTACTTAAAACTTCTTTTTGACTGGCCATTACAAACAGAATTCATTAGATTAATAAATGTCCTCGAACACAGCGAGCAAAGACGGCGTGAAGAGAAACACAAATGTAGTCTCATATTGAAAATTATTCCAGGACAATATCCCTAAAATATGGAGAGCGACTTAAAAACGTTCAACAGAAGTGTTGCAACCAAATAAATACTGCAGCCGGTAAAGCAGAAAATGGAACGGAGTAGGTAGTATTAGAAGGTGCCATAAGTATTCGGAATTTGACAACTCCTTGGCTCGTAGAACTTTTGTAATCAAAGTATACGACGCAGTCAAATCAGAAGTCAGAAATGAGGAGGCTCGAAGATAGTTTTGGTAAACCATCGATATGTTGAAAAGCGTTCGATGTAGGTAGGCTAGCAGTTGCAACAACTGTGTAACACGGGGTATATATACGTGATCTGGTGTGCGTAACAGGAAGCTTTCAGCAAATGCGTCCAGTAAAACTAATGTTAGCATAAATTTTAAAGACTAACAAAGCTAAATAAGAACTTTCATCTAAATCGAAAGGAATGGTTCACAGTATTTGGGCGCCGAGTTGATGTGGAACGTTAGGGAGGAAGAATATATTTCTGAAATCTCAGCGAGTGGGTTTGAAGTAGATTCATTAGCGGAGTTTTAATAAATACATTTTTACTCGGTAATGACTTATAGAGCTATTTATGTTGAGCATTTGTTTACCGCTAGATATTTGTTTGAACGTTAATGGTGACGCAGTTATTAATTCGTCATAAGTGAAATGTCTGTGCATTTGAAACGTGTACTGAAAAAAAGATAGCACATACAGCGTCGTGTTTATAGAAATCTGTGGATCACCAATGCAGATGATCTATGCCAAGTGATAGGGGGCCTATTGGAGTTAGACGGGAACGGTGTGACCAACAGCTGAGTTAGAAGTTACACCTTGCTGTCAGCAGTAAACGTGGATTACCTCTCCGTCGTATCAAAGTGCTATGGCTGCTTTGAAGACTCCATAACACAAAGGACGTTGTTACATAAATGTATTGGTAACAGTAGGTACAAAGGAGAAGTTGCGAGCACAACCGCACGGGCCAGTTCATCGCATACAACTAATTGGTGTATGTTGGTTGCTCTCGATTTTCATGAGGGTCGATTAACTACTCCAGATTCAGTGACCCAACCGTAGGATGATTTGGCTTGGGCTCAGTGACATTTCACTGGTCCTACATATTATTAAATCTACGCGTCGATATAAGATTGTAGATAACCAACGTAGATGATCCATGTCGGAAATGATCGGAGGCCTACACGAGTTAGACGTGAATGGTGCGACAAACTAGCCAACGTCGAAGTCAAACCTCGTGGTCAGCACCTTACGTGGACTACCCGATTGACGTATCAAGGTACCATAGATGCTTTGAAGACTGTACAACACAGAGGACGTTACTACAGAAATATATTAGTTAAAGTAGATACGAGCGAAAGTGAGACCACAGCCGTACGGACCAGTCCATGGCATACGATTAACTGATGCTCGTTGGTTGTCCTTTACCTTGACGAGGATCGATGATTTGTTTGATAATCAATGACCCAACTGCCGGATGATTTGGCTAGGGCTTAGTGACATTTGGCCGGCCCTACAAGATAAACAGATAACTTAGGAATTATGCACAGTAAGGTAATAAATGACTTTTAACCTATCAAGTAAATTATAGCAACTCAGAACAGTTAACGAATTAAAGCGGAAGCAAAGAACTACCAGTTTGCCCAGTACGATCATATCCTAGAATCTGCTGGTGAAAAAATAATATCTGATGCCTTCATCGTATTTTTCGAAAGAAAGCTGGATAAATACAATGACATGCTACAAAAGGACTAACTCAGGACTATGACTTTCAGTTTCAACTCAAAGAATCTGAATCCAGATACTGTAAGTAGAAAAAAGGAGTAGTCTGCTTTAGGATTATAAGAATTGAAACTTTAAGTTGTAGTTGAAAACAAACACAAAATATTTTATAGTGATTAGCATCGAAATATTTCTTTGTTAGTTAAAATCTCAGTATTGTTTGAAGTGTTATCAAGGTTACCTGGACCCTCCCGACCTATCAGCTGTTTTCTAGTTTTCATCATCGAAACAGCTGATTGTCATTCGTGGCGTGTAGCTTATCACTTAGGCGTAACAAGCTAGAAATATAACAGATGTATGAATTGCAGTTTTCAACACTCATGTGCAAAAACAAAACGGTAGCTTTGCCTTAGAACGTCTGGGACAATCTCTGTGAATACATGCAAAGCTATTTAATTAAATATCCAAATTAATACTAAATCCCGAAATCCTTAAGCATGATTGACAATGGTTCTTTAGAAAATGCATCAAGTAGGTTCAGGCGTTACAGTATCACTAATTTCCCAAGTCCCTAATTCTAAGTTATGTGGTAGCAACCAAAGTCCTGGTGTCCTACAATGTATATGCAGGTTCATATTGTCTCAGCAATCTAAAATCTATGGCGGATTAGTTGAATATATAGATGGAGCTAGTGTCGGGACACCTAGAATTAATAAGAATGAAGGGGATAAAGCGTTTACCAAGGCATGTTGCTTACTCGATTAACACATTTTCTTAGGATAATTGTTGTGATGATGTTCGGCGAAGTTCTCAGTGCGATAAATTGACGCTAACCATCGAAACACTTTTAGTCGGAGAAAACTGTTTAGAACACTGTGGAGATAATCAGCTTCCTGTCTATGTTATGGAGCAATGGACAGCCCAAGTTCTCCCTCAGAAGTAATTCAACGATACTTTTAATGTGCTCACACACTCTTTTGTTTGATTTTTTGTTATTATTCTGTGTCTTCGGTATTTAGAATGTTGTAATCTGAGGCAATCTGCCTGAATTTACTATTCATAGTATTTGTTTTTAAGTACACTCAATTTGATTTTGTCTGTTGTCTCATTTGAAACTTTCAGTTTTAAAAATAGGGGAATCTCTATTTCCGGTTGTCAGATTGAGCTCTTGGACTACATACAAACATCCCCTTTAATGGCTGCAATCAAAGAACCAGGTCGTCCTCGCAGATATAAGCTTACTCACAGGTTGGTGTCATCTTTTTTCTAAACTTAGTAACTAGTTGTCTTTTTTAGTACTATTAACTCCATTCTTGTTTGTCTTCCTTTACAGATCCTATGTATGTGATCGCATTTCTCAAGTGGGTGATTCTTTTCTTATGGATGCATCAGATATACTGAGTATGGACTGTCTAAGTGACAGGAATAAAAACAGTCAAGATGATGATCATGATGGTAGTTCAGTCTCAAAAATAGTTCGTCAGATGGATGGTTGTGAAAGTCCTATTAAACGAGTTTTTACACCTGTTTGTATTAGTGAAAAGGAGATTTTGCACATCACTGTTGTAACGCTAAAACATCTTCCCCAACAGTTTCTTGGTTGTCCACTTTGCCTAAATTCAACTTACTCAACGAATAAAGATAGCTTCACTATGCTTAGTTGTGCTAGATGTCATTCACCTGAAACTCTTGTAGACTTGGATGTTCGTAAAAAGAACACTACACTTGTTTCTCGTACAACCTACGGAAAGCCTAATAAACATCCGCCAAACTTTCTTAACTTACCTAAATGCTCTTCAAACGAAGAAGTTGTCAGAAGTCCTGTTGTTGTCATGGCAGATACAGAAGAAAAGTTTATGCAATCTACGTTTGATAACCCCTTTTACAACATCCTACCACCCTGCTCTTCTTTGGATTGTACCGAATCAGGTCACTCGACTTTAACAAAAAAGTCATCTCGTTTGACTGACTCCAATAGAATATGCCAGATTCCTCTAGAGTCACCTCCCCGTAAACAGCAACGTATCAGTTGTTACGCTCATGAACTTAGTTCCGAAACAAAAGATTCAGATGACTCCAATGAAATGCCCTCTTCCGTCACCCCTACCATAAGCAAAACTCCAGGTGTGCAACGTGAAGGCTGTATTAACAAAGTAATTGCAGAATTCACGCTACTGAATGTCGAACGTGACCTAATTATGAACTCAGTTGACGATTCGAATATTGGTTCAGTATGTATACCACCTGTTAATGCCTGTTTTTCTTCTTCCTTCGATGTGCACAGAGACTCCATACAATGTAGCCAACTCAGTTATAGTACGGCTAAAAAGCGTGACCATGCATCCGAATCTCAGCTAGGCACAGATTCAGAGGATTCAGTACTATTAACATCACCGAGTGCTAGTTCTCAACCGGTGCCTAGATTAAGCAGGAGACGAAACGCTACTTCTGTCTCCGTCTGGCCTTCATCATCGTTTCACAATGACGGCACTCCTTTCTTCAACCGCCGTACTGGATTGCCTTTACAATCATCTCCGGTAAGTCTGGTCTTTCGAATTCCAATTATTTTTCGAAACCCCGATAACACGTTCTTCTCTCACTCATCTGGCAGGTGTACATAAAATTATTAATATACAACTTATGTATATGATATCCTGAAGTAGATGTGTTTAGGTGACAAGCGTTCGACTTGAAGCATTCCATTCTTTGTGTGACTTTTAAGCGAGCAAAATTAAAAGCAGACTCAGATCTTGACTGTATGAGTGCTCACAAGGGTTGTTAGCCTCCATTTTCTTACTAAACATACTATGCTGGTTTTATTAAGATTAATTTGGGATAAGTCGAACCGGAATATTTCATAATAGCATGTAAAAACTATTTTTTATTAGGATCGTTTTGTAACTAATATACTTCATGAATGGCAAAGTCATATCTTAAAATATAATTAACTCGTCATCACATTTTATAAATTAGTATTGCAGCTATTTATATGGAAGATAATATCCTACATATTACCCTGACTTTGATTTAAATGGCGAAAATTCTATTAATTCAACTACTGTTTAACTGTCGTCTAGTGGTTAGTGCGTTTAACTTTCGACTGATATCCAAAATCCACTCCATCTACCTTGACTAAGGTTACCGGGTAGTATTATTAGTCCTCCTAGAGTGTGGATCATACTCAAATACCTAGTGAATAGCTTATTTTAATTGGTAGTTAACGTAAACATTATCATTTTGTGATATCAAGGTTTCGTTATCAATTTTTAGTACACTCACTCAAAAATATTATTTGTGAATCTATGCTTGAGTATAGATAAACTTCATCGTGCCATCTTATTCATTTCCAAGTTATTATCAATTCTTTGGGAGTTTGTTCTGCATATCATTTGAAGGTTATTGCAGTTTCCAATGTTATATCACCTAAGTTCATTCGTTAGTGTCATGATACCCCATAGTTCTGGTTGTGGCTTTTGGCACATATCTACATTTTTGTCCTTTATTCAATGTGCCTAAATAACTGTAATAATGCGCAATATTTGTAGCATATTGCTATTGTTTTCCTTGCATTAGAGTAATTATTTCACTATTGCAACAATGTCGCTTTTATGAGACATAATTCAACTTGGTACCAAGCTGGCCTATAAACTATACAGAGTTAAAGGTTTATATGGCAATTTATTCTTTTTTTCTATCTAATAGCTAAATAGTCATGGCCTTAGTTGACCGATCCCACTCATTAACCAAGTACAAATTCCTCTACTCAGCTATGAGCGATATATTTTGGTGTTTAGGTTAGTAACATCGTTTAGCTTCTCAAATGTAAGCGGGTTGATAAAAATTCGAACTTACGATCTATGTGTTAAACGACAGACGTTTTTGATCCGCTGAATCAGAGCTCGCTATAAAGAAAATCCTTAGTCTGATACATCATCTTGTCTATAGTCACTACTAATTTGGATTTAATTCCATGTGCAAAGATAACTCAGTCAGTCATAATCAATATGTAACCTTTCACAAATATACGTTCGTCTGACTTCCCACCTCACATAATCACAAAGAGAATAAATTAATAAGTGCAATAGCTTAAGAGTTGAAGCAGTTGTAATGACAATGACCGTAAGAAAGACTCAAGTTTTAGAATATAGTTCCCGAAGATTGAATGAAAAGGTACAAACGAATAAATACTGGAACTTCAGATCTAAAGGACGTTAAAGAGTGAATACATTTACACCATTGCAATCAGTTCTGAGCCATGTTGCTCATTGTTACAAAACCTGAAAGATCAATTCATAATTCCAAAAGTTCATATCAGAACCTTCATTTATAGTTCACTGGTCATATAAGTGAATATAAAAAAGGACATTTACGAGTTTTTAGAAGAGTAAGTTTTAAACAGTCAGTCTGAAAAATTAGCCAGTGACTGCTTGACCAGTAGGTTAGCCAATAGACTTTTCTGATTAGTTATGTACGACAGATGACGAAAGCGACTGATCTTTTATCTTGGTCCTAGCTGTATCCAACTAAGCTGTTTCTCTTTCAAATACCATGAACAATAAATTTTACAGTGGTAGTCGTGCTAAAATAACTTAGGCTATCAGGCAGTCAGTCATAGCTAACACAAAATCTGACAAACATGTGTATCAGTTCAAGTCCCCACACTATACCTACACACCGAAACGAAATTATAAAAACAAATATCACAGTAGTAGGATTAGTAGTAGAAGTAACAACAGCATCAACGACAGTAGGAAAGATTAAACCTAGACGGTATGATTCGAAAGGAAAAACTGAATTCACCGAATCAAATGTGTGAGGCTATTTTAAAACTCTACATATGAAGGAAGAATATGAATGAATGCAACTACTTCATTCTGACCAGTTCTAAACAACGTCACTCAATCTTTTCAACCATTGATTACAGTGATCATGCATACAGCAAGCGAGTAGTTTGTATGTACCAATACAGTTCAATCCAACAGTCAATAACTTCATGGAATAAAATAATGTTTTGATTTACCCTCTCCTAGCTTTCTTACAGCTCACTCATACCTAAGCAAATATCATATGTCGAGGTAGGCGGTGGTTGGGTATACATATTACACGTTCCGACAGCCTTAATTGATGAATTAAACACTGTAACTATCAGTAGTGAAGTTTCTTATCACTAAGTCCCACTCAAATATGACTTATTATAAATTTGAAGTTTAATCACATGATATAATCTGATGTAATAAATGAAGATATGTTCTTTCTAAACTGTTTTGTAAAGTTTCCATATATCTTATACATTTGTTTTGAAAGAATTATTGAGTGTTTAGAAGTTGAGTTTATGAATCATTGAAACATTATTTATTTGAACACATATATATTGGTACAAGGAGGCACCAAATTCATATGCGCCACAAAAATCTCATTTGATTTGTGTGAGGGTTGTGATATTACCCGGGTGCCCAAGCCGAAGCAGGTGATTTTCTTAAGGGGTAACATCCGGAGCCTTTGACCTGAAAATCTGATCCACAAGGCAGTGGAGAAACGTCAGGAGATGCATCCCCATGGTAGCCGGTGTCAGTCAGTCAGCTACAACGTAGGACTAGGCACATATATGCATCGGTCTAAGTTGCCATACTGCATTAGCACAGCAAGATGAACACCGGATTCACAGAAGTAGTTAATTCAATGGTCGTAATATATAAAAGAAAGATTGCATATAAGGATATAGTACAGGAAGAAAGAATTAGTACGTAGAATGATATGAAGCCGGTGACCAATAATTGGTTCACACGCCTTTTGTTCTCTCAAGATCCTGGAGCCCATGTGCACCATTGGTTTGGAATCAGCGTTTTCCAACTCCCCTAGGTAAACTCTCCGTATCTATCAACCCGGTTAAAGCGCCGGACATTCGCTTTCCGTCTTCTCAATTATGTAAACAACACCCCTGCCACGAGAAGACAGTGAGTGGGACTTCTTTGGCATAGGCTATATATATAACCATTGCTCGCAATGTTTTATACTTTATCTCCAAAATTCTAATACATTTTAGTTACTACAAAAGGTAATACAGGAATTATAATGAAGTACTTTTTCCACATTTTGATCACTTACTTACTCCGTAAAGCGATAATTTAATGATCAAGATGTTTGACTTTTAACAACTAGATTATAAGTTTGAATTCTGTTTCACTTTTGATCTGATCAATTGGATAATAATATCATTACTTTATATACACAAATTATGACTAAAACCTGAGTACACTATTTGGTATTTGATACTTGAGTTACATCATCATTTCATGTTATTTTTTGCTCCAATTTGTTTTACATTGAATGTTTATTTCTCTATTTTTGATTGAAATAACAATACCTATATTTGGTAATATTGTGTAATTTATGTATTAATAGAATTTACATTACTTTTCTTTGTTTAAAATGACGTATGTCATTTTAAAAAGGAATTCCATTTATTGCTACACTTTAATGTTCTAATACTTTTCTTCGGGAGGTAGAAGGGAGGAAGAGGAAGAGGAGGAGGAGGAGGAGGAGGAGGGGAAGAGGTTGCTAGGACATGAAAAACAATTTATGAATTGAATATGAAGGAGCTTAACATTAGTATAAGACGTAAAACAATCTATAAATAATACACTTTTAGTACATTTTCAATTATAAACTAATAAATGTAATTTATTTCAGTTATGATTATTAAGAAGCAGACAACCGCTGGCTTAATGGATAAACGTATATATATGGTACTTTCATTTGTCACTAGGTGGATTAAGTAACGTATAGACCATTCCATTAACGTTCAATTTCTCTAATACTTTTATGGTTGATTGCTTATTACATAAATATAAAGACTGTTTTATGTTTTACTAACCTACGCAAGTTATCGCTCTATAGGACATATTTATATCCAGAGAGGGATTTTATGGATATTGTAGTAATTTAATAGTTGAATTTGTGAGTCAATTGAAGCTAAACCACCATGGAAAACCTGAAAGTATTGGACAGTTGAGGGGTCTCGTACTAGGAAGAAACGACCATTCAGTGCTTCCAGATGTTCTATGGTGGTTTAGCTTTCACTGACTCATGAAATCAACTATTGAATTACATATTTATATGTTAATTAGATAGAAATTATGCTGTACAGTGAATTGTTTGGAGAAATGTATGTAAGTCACATATATATGGTTATTTATTTATTTATATTTATTTAAACATAAAAATTAGTATAAGGAGGCACCAAATAGATATGCGCCACATAAATCATTCAATTTATGTGAGTGATGGGATACTATCCGGGTGTCTAAACCGAAGCAGGTTGTTTTCTTAGGGGGCCACACTCAGAGCCTTCGACCTAAAGGTCAAAGTCCCATGGTAGCCAGTGACCAACAATTGGTTTATACGCCATTTGTTACTTCAGGATACTCGACCCCATGTGCACCATTGGTTTGGAATGAGGGTTTTCTGTCTCCCCTAAGTGAACTCTTCGTGTCCACCAACCCGTTTAAAGCGCCGGATATTCGCTTTTCGTCCTCTCAATTTCGCAATAAACACCCTTGCCATGAGAAGGCAGGACTTCCCTGGTAGTGGTTGCATGCATGTGGCCATGTGAGAGCATTTGGAGAGGGAAAGCGAACTCTTCCCACTCTCGGCTGCACCAGGGTATTTGTGGGTATATATATTTCTTAATGCTTACTTTGATCTAATAGGACCAACAAAAAGTGTGTATTGTTCATTTAGGTTAGCAATCATAGACAGTGCAAATAGTTGAATCGGTCATAATTCAATTGACTAGATTGTTTTAAATGTAACCAGCTTCTGTCTTCTTTAATGTATGACAGTTGTTGACTAGTAGTAAGTGAACATGGGGTTAGCTCGGAAAAACCAACTGTTAATGTGAACATACTTAAAAACCACAAAACCTAGAAATCAAAATGCGTTGTAAAGATGGTAGATGTAGCTACATTTGGCTATCGTCTGTAACTTATTCTATCTTATTCAAGCTGTCAAATGCACAAAAGTTGATGTTGTTAAAACAATCTGCAAGTGGAATGATGTACCTAGACGCTTAAAAAAACCAGATAAAATCCCTTTGTCATTTAATTCATCTAGCTGAGTTGTCCAGCTATTTCTGCTAACTATTGTTTAATTCATGACTATTGAATCTAGGCAGCCTAAATGATACGTTCTAAAAGATATTTCGAATGCTGAGACACTTCATAACACAAATCAGATGACGTACCCCTTGATTTTTCCCAAGAATTGAGGCAACAGTCTGGATTTGATGCTAGTGATATGTCACATAAATCTAATGTTTGTATAATAAAAACGAAAGTAATATATGGATCTAAGTTACCTTTCTAAGCTAGCATCATTCCAGCTTCTTTCTGAAAATAAAGAATAAAGTGCTCCAGTTGAAGATACTGTTCCAAATATCGAAAACCCAAGATCTCTTACCTGAAGATATTTGACAACTGTCTGTGTCCAACCATTATCATTTGATTAATCAATTTGTTGATTTAATTCAATTCTTATGAAATATGTATCACCTCTGTTATACTTTTTAGGTTCCTCTCAAAAGAAGTACAAGTGGAAAGTTTGATTTCGATTTATCATTGAATCGCATGAAAACATCTAGAAGGTAAAATTCAAATTGTATTTCTTTGTTTTAGTTTTACCATAATTATAGTATTCTACATTACAACTTGATCAGTAGAATATGGTCAGCACTAAAGCACTAGACAAGCATGATGTTAATTAATACACAACGATCAATCAATTATAGATATGTAATTCGTACACGAAGTCAGTGATATCCTGAATCGCTCTTTGGCGACACCTCGGAATTGCCGATACACCTTGCTTATAAGTTCCAATTAGTACAGAACCTCAGGAAAACAAGGTTTCTCGCTGACTACTCCCAACTACCTAAGTGTTCAGTATGGAATTCGGTGGTGTCGTAGTAGTAGCCTAAGTCTTAGCATAACAAGTTTGTGATTATTTGATCATAGGTGGTGTTACGGATTAGAATTAATAATGGTGAAAGAATTTTACATGATTAAAATGAATAAATAAAAGGTTGATTAATAAATAAAGTTGAATGATTTGATGTTTCCAAATGTGTCAGCCGTGTCTCAGGTTAAACATCAACTCTGAGATACAGTTACATCCTTCTGATTAGTCACGAATGGGACGAAACACTAATCCTAGATTCCACTGCTATCCATTATTCGTCTTTGCTTAGAATGTTTGTGAATTAAGGCAATATCGAGGCCATCCACAGAGCATGCACATATGCCAATAAGAGACTGATCAATTGGAGTCCTAAACATCAATACATACATTAATTAATACTATTATTAATGCAAAACTAAACACTTTTATCAAGACAATTTTTGTATTGGTACAGGTGGGAGAGGGAACTGATTATTTGAGTTGTTGAATTTCCATAGTTTACATCATGAATTAATTGTAGTTAAAGAGTCCTAAACACTGAAACAGAATAATTTTGTCTTTAATAGATCATGATTCCCACCCCACTTTATTTATTTGTTTGAACACAAACATTGGTACAAAGGGGCACTGAATACATATGATCCACACAAGCCACTTGATTTGCGTGTGGGCTGTGATACTGACTGGATGTCCAGACCTAAGCAAGTAATTTTCCTACGGGGCTACACCCAGAGCCTTTGACCTAAAGGTCTGATCCACAAGGCAATGGAACAACGTCATGAGATACAGTCTGATGGTAGCTGGTAACCAACAATAGGTTCATACGCCATTTTGTTTGGAATCAGGGTTTTCCGACTCCCTAGATGGATCCTCTGTATTCACCAACCTGGTTAAAGCGCCGTATATTCGCTTTTCGTTCTCTCAACTTCATGAAGAACAGTAATGCCACGAGAAGGCAGTGGGTGGAACTTCCCTGGCAGTGGTTGTATACACGTGGCCATGTGAGAGCATTTCGAGAGGAAGAGCTGACTTTCCTCACCCTCAGCCGTACCAGGGCAGCTTTTAACTTCGATCAGTATCGATTCCATAAGCAATGTCACTCTAAGGCATTCCATGTTCTATGTAGATACTATTCTTAAAGTTTTACGTCAGGTCTTAATGAGTGGTACTTAAACCTAACTTCCAACGGTTGGTTCATAAAATTAAATCACAGGCTGTTGCGTTCTCTTAGTTGGCTTTCGTTATTGTTCTGAACTATCTCGTCAGTACCTACGTCGATTAACTTATACTTGAGTCGGACACTGATCTTATTGTCCAGAACGATAATAGAAGTATTTCATTTTTCTAAAACGATCAAATTTTATTTCTCGTTCAAAATTTCTTGATTTATGTTGTGCATAAATAATAATTAGACTTTATAATAGCTTTCCGGTCGTAAAAAGTCTTCTACTCGTGAACTCCATACAGAAGACACAAGTTGCGGGGTATACAAAAAGCTTTACTTCAAAGATTGATGAGTGTACAGAAATCAAGGGTATTCACAGGATTATGAGTGACCCTGAGATTCCGGAAAGAAATTGTTAATAGCATACTAAAATAAGTAACAAATTCATGATCGTATTAATAAAAAACGCTGATTGCTTGGAGAAGTCCTAACATTTTACTGATTTCTAAAAGTTCCAAGAAATTGTCAAGGGGTTCGAACATCAATTTCTAAAATTGTTATCGCTGCCTTTCACAATAAAAAGATCTATAATCATGATATAAAATTACTTACGCCTGTTACCTTTCACGGAAGAGCATAGGCCGCTCACCAGCACTCTCCATCCAACCGTGTCCTTGTCAAACCTTTCCAGTTGCTATTCATCCTTTTCATATCTGCTTCCATTTCCCGACGTAGTGTGTTACTCAACCTTCCTCTTCACCACTATTAAATGGTTCAATATTTCCGGTATCTTATGGCTATATTATGTATGTGTATTCATACTTAATCGAAAACATACAAGGTTCTTTAGGTTAAAAGTTTGCGTTTCCGCAGGGTATCAAATAATGTTATTATCTGTTCAAATTATATCGAATATAATTACCGATCACGTTCAATTATTGACCTCTTTTTTTGTCTCCTTCTTCTTCTTCTTTCCTAATATCTTTATATATCGATTCTGTTCAATACCCATTATTTTCTTTTTTTTAGCTCTATTTGTATGGTATACAATCATAATTTGCAAAATTCCAGTGAAATCAATACAGATCATGTTAAAGAACCTTCATCAGGGATGGAAAGTTTAAAATCTGACAAAAAATTCAATAATAATACTGATAACAGTAGTAATGATAATAATGAAACTAATAGCAATAAATCAAATCAAACTATTACATCATTTCGTCGACGACCATCTAGTCTACGATTTACATCACAATATCAAGAACAATCATTTGAACGTAATACTGTTAATAGTTCTATCATTGGTGGTTCTAATAATCGACATACAGTAACAGGAGCAAGACGACGTAATTATCCTGTAGAAATGGATTCAATTGAATTAAGTTGTAGTGCACCACCGTCTGGAGGTCGTGGTTTTCAACCACATAAAAATATAACAAGTCGTTTAGCAAATACTATGGCATGTACACCAGTACCACATGGTAGTTCACAACATTTGCTAGTCAATTTTGAAGTAAGTTCTCTCTCTTCCTTCTTTAAATGGATATTAACGTTAGTTCATTTATCGCGGATATTTCTATCCTCCCGTTGTTGAAGTTAAGACCTGCAATCGGTCAGCCTCTTTTTGGCATATGTGCATCCTGTTTATCTATTTGAACAAGTAAATATCGGTAGAAAGGGGCACCGAATACATATGTGCCACACAAACTACTTGATTTATGTGTGGACTGCCCGGATGCCCAGAACGAAGCAGATGATTTTGTAAGGGGGCCGCACCCAGATCCTTCAGTCTAAAGGTCTGATCTACAAGACAGTAGAGCAACGTAAGAAGATGCAGTCCTATGATAGCCGGTGACCAATAACTGGTTCACACTCCGTTTGTTCGTTCGGAATCCTGGAACCTGTGTGCACCATTGGTTTGGAGTGAGGGTTTTCCAACTTTTCTAGGTGAATCCACCGTGTCCACCAACGCTATTAAAGTGCCGGACATTCGCTTTTCGTCCTTTCAATTTTGTAAGGAACAGTAATGCCTCGAGAAGGCAATGAGTAGGCTGTATTCTCGTGGCCATGTGAGAGCATTTCGAGAGGGAGAGCGAACTTTCCTTTAGCCTCGACCGTATCAGGGCATTTGGAATAATCGAATCAGGATATGACAGTTGCACATCATGTCATCAAAAGTTCGATATAATCATGTTGGCATATGCACAGGTCTTCTGGTGGTTGGTGAGAGAAGCGATAGCTTAGTGGTTGAGGCGTTCAACTTTCAGCCACTAAGTCCCAGGCTTGAACCCCTCTCTACTTATTTCTGTTTGGACAACCGAATAGTATCACTAAACGTCACACTTAAGGTGTTACTTATACCCAAGTACCTAATGAATTAGTTAGTTTGATTTTTAATCTTAATTTCTCGTCAGTGTTTACGAAGTCACTATGATCTGTAATGGAACATTTTTTCCATGTGTGATTTGATTCAATATCTTTCTTGAAATTTCGAATACTGTTATTTCATTCTTTGATTATTTATCTTTTTTGGACACTTTTTCGTCTTTTTTAATCTGTACACGGAAATCGGCGTTATTATTATTCAATAGTTGAATTAATGAGTCAATTAAGTCTAGACCACCATGAAAAACTTGGAAGCACTGGACGGCCGTTTCCTTCAAGTTTGGGACTCTTCAACAGTGCGCATCCACGATCCCACTCGCGGGATTTGAATGCAGGACCTATCAGTCTCGCACGCTAACGCTTAACCTCTATTATTATTATTATTCCTTATCAAGTGCCCCTTATGTTTTTTTCTGTCGATAGTCTGGCAACATCACGATTTGATATTCATTAGATGACTACTGAAAAAAATTCGGCAGATGCTGAACAGTGAAATTATAAAAAGGTGTAATAACTTTGTTGTCTATATCCATAATTGTTCATTTTGACTGAAATGTAACTAAATTGTTTCTTGTCTCATCTGATCAGCCCTAATGGGTTAGTGTCTGACGAAATCTCTGCACGGATTCAAAGCGTTCGTTTGGCTTTTGCCAACTTACGTCATTTATGATATTTGCTTAGGTATGAGTGAGCTGTAAGAAAGCTAGGTGAAGGTAAATCAAAACATTACTTTATTCCATGAAGTTATTGACTATTGGATTGAACTGTATTGGTACATACAAACTACTCGCTTGCTGTATGCATGATCACTGTAATCAATGGCTGAAAAGATTGAGTGACGTTGTTTAGAACTGGTCAGAATGAAGTAGTTGCATTCATTCATATTCTTCCTTCATATGTAGAGTTTTAAAATAGCCTCACACATTTAATTCGGTGAATTCAGTTCTTCCTTTCAAATCATACTGTCTAGGTTTAATCTTTCCTACTGTCATTGATACTGTTGTTACTTCTACTACTAATCCTACTACTGTGATATTTGTTTTTATAATTTCGTTTCGGTGTTGGTCAGGCAGTCAGTCAGCAACAACCTAGAACTTCGTACCTACGTACCTCAGTTCAAGTTGCCATACCACATTAGCACTGAGATACAATGTTGATTCAAATCCCATAGTGGTAGAGGTAGTCAAAGTATAAGCAGTAAACGGAAACATTAGTTTAAAGATGTTATTTAAGGAGTATAATCCAGTGATATAAATTTGGAAAGAAAAAAAACAAACGGACATGAAGAATTCAGAAGATTAGAATTTGAGAGAACACAAAGAGTGAATGCACCTGCGCCATTGCTAACAATTTTGAGCCATGTCATTCAAGGTCTCTAACTATCGAGTCCTATCGTTTTGCGAATCCCAAGCAGTTAGTCTACACCTACCAACATGGCTCAGTCCACTTGTCACTGACTTCATGGATTTGTACCATGTTCTGGTTTGGTCGCCCCTAGCTTTCTTTCAATCTATTCTTACACCATAAAACATCTCTCGTCGAGGCAGTCGGTGGTTGTGCATACGTAACACATGTCCCAGCTATCTCAACTGATGAAGTTTCATTACTTTATCAATTGATTTGCCATCCTTACCTAGTACCCGTTTCCTAACAACTGCATTACTTACTCGATGGTCCTAGGATGTACGAGCAATGCTTCTAAGTCACGTATGATTGAATACTAGTAACCTACAAATGTCCTCTACTCTTACCGGCCATATTTCACTGTTGTTAAGTAGGACGGAACGAACTGCTGTATAGTAAACTCGTCCTTTGGTTGGTAGACGAATATCTCGCTTACGCCATAAATGATGCAAGTTGGCAAAAGCTAGTCGAGCTTTCTGTATCCGTGTTAAGATTTCGTCACACACCAGACCACAAAGGCTGATGAGACTCTCAAGATAAGTGAATCGTTCGACACGCTCAACTACTTCAGTATGAGGACTTGAACGGATACACATATTTTTCAGATTTTATGTTGATTATAACACTGATCGACTCAAAATCCGAATGCATATATCACGTTTACATGTGAAATGAATTGAGTTCATTTGGAATAGAAGTTATACAGTTTTGTTATTTCACAATATATTTTTCTAAAACAAAAATTGATCTTCGTTATCACTATATTGCATAACAGTCCATTTTGAATATCCGCTCTTTATATATATATGAAGAGGCCTACACATATTATATATCCATTGCATAAACATGTTGATATTTTGTACCTTTAATATAATCATGTGTTACTACTACTGGTAGTAGCGTGAATTCATAGCGTGAATCCATAATGTGTTGTTTTAATTTACAATTATAGTTTGTTTGTTTTGCTCAAATCAATATTGAATAAATTGTATTGATGTACTTATTATTGTTGCTATCTTGATCGTTTAGAGAACAAATTAAACTTCATCTTCATACAGTCATTATTCATGAAAAGGAACTTAAACTATAAAAATCGATTTATCGATTTTCTGTATCTAATATTAAGAATCTTGTAAGGTTTGAAGTGGATATCTTTATGTTGTGTGTGCGTGTGTGTGTGTGAAAACCTTTTAAAGCTTATTATAAGTGTGGTGGAAATCAAGTCCACATGATGAAGTGTCGGTTTTTTAGTTGTGTGGGTTATACACTTACTGGAAGCTACTTACGCCTGTTACGCCTTGTCATGGACCATAGGTCGCCTACTAGCATTCTCCATTAGACTCTGTCCTTCACAATCCTTTCCACGTGTTTCCGGTTGCTATCCATCATTTTAACGTCTAATTCCGATTCCCGATGCAGCGAGTTCTTTGGCCTTACGATTTTCCGTTTCAATTCAAGATTTCAAGCTAGCGATTGCCTTGTGGTGCAGTTTGGTGATTTTCTCAATATATGTCATATCCACTTCCAACGTCTTTTCCCAACTACTTGTACCTTTTTGATGATAGTTGTGGTAGTTCTTCAAGTTTCAGCTTCGTGCAGTAGAACTATCTTAGCATTCGCATTGAAGATTGTGGATTTGATGTTGACTTGAAGACAGTTGTTTTAAGGTTCATATGTTCTTCAGTTGAAGAAGTACTGCCCTTGTTTGTCATTTTTCACCTTTATGTCAGATCCTCCACGTTCATTGACTATGTTACCCAAATACACGAATTTTTGCACGTCTTCCAGATTTTCTCCATCAAGTATGATTGGGTTGGTGTTGTATTTGAGGATCTTGCTTTTTCGTTTATGTATGTTGAGGCCTATTGCTACAGAAGCTGTTGGTACAGTGTTTGTCTTGACCTGCATTCGTTGATGTATATGAGATGGAAGGACCAGGTGATCTACAGGGTTCAAATCGTGTTGTTGCATCCAACCTGTCCATTGTATTCCGTTCTTTGCTTCAGTTGTGGAAGTCTTCATCATCCAGTCGACCACCACCAAAAGAAAGAGAATGAGGAAGAGTTGGGAACCTTGTTTGACTCCTGTCCTTACTTGGAGTGCGTCTGTCAGATGTCCTGGAAGCTACTTTCCATCCGAAATCCATCATTCTGATTTGTTATAACTTTCAATCTCAATTTGTATAATATTTTTGATGATTTAGGGTTAAACCATCGTAAATTCCCGTGACATTCTGTATATAGTCAGCAGATAACGACGTTTATACTAAATTTTACTCCTGTTGGCTTATCTGTAATCTTGAGGAAACCGATAATATTCATGAGTTTTAACCCAATTCACACAGTTGTAACTGACCTCTAGGAGCAGCTTTCATTTGGTAAATACCCCATAAAACCATAGAACTATTTAAGTAGTTGCTATATTCCGACTTCTAAATGTTAATGGAAGACTGTAAATTGATTTGTCGATCTAATTGACATAGCATCGTCGTGCACTTGTGTGTGTCCACATTGTAAATTGATCGACGAAATTCGACCGTCACTAATCAGTGAACAATCAATTGTACGAATTAACTACCAGACACAGAAATAGTCTAACTCAATTCTTAAGCATATAGAAGTTCCTCAGTTTGTTTAAGATTTAGGAAAGGATAATTTCATATGTTTTATCTTGGTCGATCCTAAATCACATTGTTTAGATTTTCTAATCATTTGGTGGCTATTC